GTGAAAGCCGAAGCTGGCCGAACGTCCAGCCATTGGCTGGCCAACAGCCTGCTAATGACAGGTGGGCAGAGCCAGCCGTCATCTCACGGCTGGCTCCGGCCACTTGCAGAGACAGATCAGCGTAACCAGGAATCTGTCATTACACTGAGAACCCGGCGGATACAGGCGTATATTTAATTGCAACACAAGGTATCACAACTCATGGCAATGCGTCACAAAGCTTTGCCATGCGCTGCCACAGTTACATTTTTTTTAAAGAAAAAAAATAATTAACTGTGATGCGTTCTAACGCACTGCAGCGCATGTGCATGGCGTACACCACAATATGGTGCACGTGTATGTTATGTGTGTGGGAGGAGGGAGGGTTTTTTGTTTTTTTAACACATTTATTTTATCATTTTAATGTATTTATTTTTTTTTATTGTTGGGGGTGGGGGGCTATGGTGAAATATCTAGGGTCTAAACAGACCCCTGACATTTCACTTTTGAAATGGAAAAATACATTTAGTCCTCAATTTCTGTCTCTGCTGTTGGCCGGCCAATGGCTGGACGTTCGGCCAGGTTCGGCTTTCACGTCGGCTCGGCCAACTTCGAGAGCTGTACGGGTCATAGTGAATAGCCCATACAGCAGCCCTTCGGTTCAGGTGCTGGGGCCGAAGCTACAGATAGATCCTTCGGCAGCTTTGTGAATAACCCCCATAGTACTATGTGTCCCCAGTTATGAATGAACAAGCTGTGATTTACATCACTTCCTGTTCATTCATGAATTTCTGAATGGGGAGTAGCACTCACTATAGAGTCTCCTCCCCATTCATAAACTGCTTGATAGTAAATATTTTACTATCATCAGTTTCTGAATGAATGGGAAGCCTCTGTACGGAGTGCTTCCCATTCATTGAGTGCTGAGACTGCAGAAAAATAAATTTGAGCACTCTATGTCCTCAATTTGTTAGAACGCATCGCAGTGCATGATTTTTTCTTCTTCTAAAAAAAACATTACATTAACTGTGACAGTGCATGGCAAAGCTTTGTGACGCATTGTCCATGCATTGCGATACCTTGTGTTGCAATTCAATATACGCCTGTATAATTTTATCACAACACAAACATCAACACAGCGTAAAAACAATTTTTAACATAAGTCGCTTATTTACAGTTTTACGTACCTTAATCTTTTGACCTTTTCGCAAAAAGGCGCAATTTCAAATTTGCAAATAGTTGTTATTAACTCAATACAGTTTTATCTTTTAGATGTAGTCAGAAAATATTTTTGTGCTTTATCAATTGAATTGTGTATTTTTATCGGTTCAATATTACTTTGAGAAACATTTGCGCAATTATCGCAGGGCCTACAAATTTAGTAGCACCATCTTTTTATTCTACCGGGCCTGTGCTTTCAGAAAATATGTTTTTTTACTAACGCTAGCAACGCAGCAGTTGAAAACCAAATCAATGGGAAAAATTGAAAAAACGGCGTGGCCAGCTGAGTTGCAAAATGTTCCGGAGGGAAAGGGTTAAAGTTACATAAAAGGCAAACATTTTTTTTCCCTCCCCCCCAATGTTAATTAAAGCACCTTCCTTAAATGGTGTTTCTTAATCTGATCTTCTTTCCTGTAGTTTTCAGCCGTCTCCTCTGTCCTTGCTGGCACTTCCTGTCCCACGGTGTCTGCATGTGGTTGCACGCGTCCATATACTTTACCTTGCGTCTCTCCTCGTCTTCCGGCTGAAAATCCGAACTTCGCATGCACCCGCCCCAAGATGCTTTGCGGCCGCCCGAGAATTTTCAGATTTTCGGACGGGAGCGTGGGGGGAAGACACACCTAAATTTAAACCGCTTTTAAAGCATTCTTTTAAAAACGTATTGCATATATCTACTGCTTGCTAGCAGCAGATATATGCAAAAAAACGTGAGGGTTTAGAAACCCTTTAAAGGAGAACTATGGGGTCAGTGTTTTTCCCCATAGTTCTCCTTAGGGTAACGGGAGGACACAAACTAGCGTCCTCCCGTTACCCTAAGCTCCGTATACCGCGAGCTACAGCTCGCGGTATACTGAGACGCCAGAGCGGATCCCGACAACGATGTTGAGATCCGCCCAGCTGCGTGAGTGACAGCTGGCTCTGCCTATCTAGAGGCAGAGCCAGCTGTACCCGCCCCCTCTCCCATCCATTCCGCCAGTCAGCGCTGGCGGATCGGAGCAGGGAGGGGGGAATCCAGCCCCTCCCCTGTCACGTCAGAGAGCCGTGACAGGATCGAGAGGTGAGCGAACGCCGGTATCTGTTCGCTTACCTCCCGATCTACTGAGCCGACCTGTGACAGTCTCATTGTCACAGGTCGGCTAGAACTTTGAGGTGAGTGGAAATCACTCATCTCATAGTTCTCCTTTAAGTCACTGGGACCACTGCAACCACATGCCAAATGCCACTTGTCACGTAAAGTTGCTTTTGTAAACAAGGCCTTAAGGTTTCAGACACCAAGTGCTTATGATGAACTCTCTCTTTCTGTTGTAAGTTAATATAATAATGCTTGACATTTTTACATAGGCATAAACAAATTAGGAATACTCCATCCAATGTGGGCACCAAATCCGATTACTTCAAACAACTGAATGGAATTCTTAATTACCAGTTGCCAGGTAGAGTCTAGTGAGGGTCTTAGAGTCTAGAGTGGTATATGCACTGAATTCCCCTATTTGTAACTTACCAAACTTCGGTGGACATATATAATTAACGTTTCCAGTTTGCTAGAAGCTTAAATATTTCTTGACGAAAAGGGTTAAATTTTTAGTTTGTGGCTCACAAATAGAGTAGGGTTGGAAAATGAAATAAAAAGTGTTTTCCGCTACAAGAAGGTTCAGTGATTTTACAGCAACAAACTCACTGCTGTGCATGATCTTCTAATCTCCAATTCTTTTAACTTGCTTGCGTTCACTGAAACCTGGCTTCAGGAATCAGACTCTGCCTCCCCTGCTGCCCTCCCCCATGGGGGCCTCCACTGGACACACTCACCCAGACCCAGTGGACGAAAAGAAGGTGGAGTGGGAATCCTTCTATCCCCACAATGCACTTTTCAAGTTCTGCCTTAACCTCCCTCTCTATCCCACTCCTCTTTTGAAGCTCACTGTATTCGCCTATTTTCTCCAGTTTCTCTGAGGGTTGCTGTAATACACCGACCTCCTGGACCACTATCTCACTTTCTTGATGACTTCTCTGCCTGGCTATCCCACTTTCTCTCCTCAGAAATACCCACTTTCTCTCCTCAGAAATACCCACTATCATTCGAGGGGACTTTAACATCGCTAATAACATTAACACCCCAGCTTCCACTCAATTTCTTAACCTAACCTCTTGTTTTGACCTAAGACAATGGACACACACTCCTACTCAGATGGTAACTAGATCTTGTCTTCTCTCATGTATGCACACCTTGCAACCTCTCCCAACACCCCTTTTCCCCTCTCGGACCAAAACATTGTCAGTTTCACTCTCACCCTGTCCCCAACCATGAATCCCCCTACGCAACACACTGTCACCCGAAGAAACCTTCGCCACCTCGACCCTTCTCTTCTCTACTAGACTCCCTCTATGATGAAATCTCACCACTGTCCTGCCCTGAACTGGCTACTTCTGTCTTCAACAGCTCACTTTCATCCTCCCTAGACACATTGGCTCCCCTCACTACTCGCAGACTTGGACCACGTCCCCTACAACCATGGCAAACCAAAGAAACCAGAAATCTCAAGAGACAAGGCCGCACTCTGGAGCGAGTGTGGCGTAAAACTAGGTCTCTGCAAGACTTCACCCTGTATAAAGCTGCCCTCCTAAAATATAACTCCTCTCTCCGTGCTGCCAGGCTTATTTTGTCACTCTCATCCAAACCTTGTCAACTCTTTTCTACTTTTAACTCTATGACCCCTAACGCCACCGCCCACTAACTCACTCACTGCCCAGGACATTGCTATTCAAAAAATAGATGCAATCCGAGATGAAATGCCATCTGTCCAGTCACCTTCCCCTATTCACGTACCAGACCCACCATTGCCCCCGTTTCCTCTTTTGACCCTATCAAAAACCGAGCTTATGGTATTCCCACCCCCACGTGCACCCTCCCCCAACTTTTCTATCATAATTGATAACGCAACCATCCAACCCTCCCCCCATGCCAGGGTACTGGGTGTCATTCTTGACTCGGACACCACCTTTCTTCCCCACATCCAATCACTATCCAAATCCTGCCGTCTTCACCTTCGTAACATCTCCAAAATGCGCCCCTTCCTCACCAATGAAACCGCAAAGCTGCTTATCCACTCCCTTGTTATCTCTCGTCTTGACTATTGTAACCCCTCCTCATTGGCTTACCGCTACACAGGCTATCCCTTCTTCAATCTATCATGAATGCTGCTGCCAGACTTATCCACCTAACCAACCGCTCAGTGTCTGCAACCCCCCTCTGCCAATCCCTGCACTGGCTTCCAATCGCCCAAAGGATAAAATTCAAAATATTAACCACTTACAAAGCCATCCACAACTCTGCCCCGGCTATATCTCAAACCCTGTCTCCAAGTATCACCCTAACCGTCCTCTCCGCTCCTCCCAAGACCTCTTGCTCTCTAGCTCCCTTGTCAACTCCTCCCATGCTTGCCTCCAGGACCTCACTAGAGTCTCACCCATTCTGTGGAACTCTTTACCCCAACCTGTCGATCTCCTACTCTGACTACCTTTAGGCGTTCCCTTAAGACTTATCTCTTCAGGGAAGCTTATCCGACCTCAACCTAACCACCGAAATATCAATTTCTCAAACAATTCATCCCCACAAAGCTACCTCCTCATGTATCACTTCCCCCTCCCTTTAAGATTGTAAGCACTCAGGGGCAGGGCCCTCCTTGCCATCTTGTCTTGAATTGTATTGTGATTGTAATGTCTTCCTTATATTGTAAAGCGCTGCACAAACTGTTGGCGCTATATACAGTAAATCCTGTATAATAATAATAATAATAATTTACCTGTGTGAGATACTCTATACAAGTTCTTCTTCAACATTTCATACAAAGGACTGCAAAGAAACAAAAAAATATGGCAAATTAAAAAGAACGTTACAGTTAGGTCTACTTGTCGGTTTACACAAGTTCAGTACAGTGATAACATTTCAAAAGATGAGTTGTTTTTTGCAACTATTATTGCATACAACTATGCAAACACTGACAAGGTGATTGACGTCTTACGCATAACTACACACTCATGCAGTGTGATATAAGTAAAAGCTCCTTAACGTCTGTCTTCCCCAACAGCATATACTTACCTTTCGTAAGCTCCCACTACGCTGCATTCGTTCAATGTGAAAAAGCGGTATAGAAATCCAATATATTGTAAATTCTTGAAGCTAATCTCAAACAATGTTATCAGTTTTCAAAGCTATCTTCTGTGAAGTACAAAACCCCTTCTCCCTATGTAATGAGATGAGAGATTTGTAGTCCAAATCAGAAGAGCACTTTAGGGTGACAACGCGGTTCCTACAAAAAACATGGTGCAGTGAATAAACGCTGTCACTCTAGAACAGGAAGGGTATTACTGGCAGTATCACCATATATAAAATAAAGGAAAAAGAGCATTAATGTAAAACCATAAGTGTACGATATTGAATTTGCCTAAACACTATGGGGGTAATTGATCAAAACCGGCATAGGCAAAATCTGAAGCAGCTGTGCATGGCAGCCAATCAGCTTCTATCTTCGGTTTGTTCAGTTAAGATTTGAAAATGAAAGAAGCCGATTGGCTGCTCCAGATTTTGTCTGCTCCAGTCTTGTATAAATACCCTTCTATGTATTAATAATTCCCTTTTTTTCCCCCCATACAGGTTTCACTTTCTTTTTCAACCTTTCTTCATCTCAGTGCTGCTAATCTCCTCCAGCTTCTTCAGTGACTTCTACTTGCTTGTTGGTTGCAAAACATTGCTTTGGACCAGCTTCCCGATAGTAACAAAGTGCACCGAGCACTTTGCAATGTGTGTCGCAGAAGCCTATTAGGGAGATTGTCAACCCTTACCAGGAGGTACCAGAACAAGGACCCTTATGGCAGGATTGCCTGTAATGGAGCCACCACATCTAGGCTGTAAAGGCAAAACTCATGCCTCTGATCCCAGCCAGAGCCAACACAAAGTCACTTCTGTTTCTATGCTATGTAGTAAACATTACTTAGGGCTTTTCCCCATAGTTCTCCTTAGGGTAACGGGAGGACACAAACCAGTGTCCTCCCGTCACCTTAAGCTCAGTATACCGCGAGCTACAGCTCGCGGTATACTGAGACACCGCAGCTGAAGCGGATCCCGACAATTATGCCTGGATCCGCCCAGCTGCGTCAGTGACAGCTGGCTCTGCCTATCTAGAGGCAGAGCCAGCTGTACCCGCCCCCTCCCCCGTCCGTTCCACCAGTCAGCGCTGGAGGATCGGAGCGGGGAGGGGGGAATAAGCCCCTCCCCTGTCACGGCAGAGAGCCGTGACAGGATCGAGAAGTGAGCGACCGCCGGTATGTGTTCGCTCACTTCCCGATCTACTGAGCCGACCTGTGACAGTCTCATTGTCATGGGTCGGCTAGAACTATGAGGTGAGTCAAAAGCACTCACCTCATAGTTCTCCTTTAAATCAATGGTAAAACTCAACAAAAAGAGCAAGATCCACAGCAGCAAATATTTCCCAAGATGGAAATTAAGGTTCAAAGACACCAGAAGATATGTAAGAAGCCAGCTAATAATTCATGTCCAGCATTATTTAACCCACTTTCTTTTGCGCCCAGATCGTCCTGGACCCATACCAATCTATGACTGGACAGTGAAAAGAGAAGCAGTACAGCACTGACTGAGATCATCCCTCTGCCACCTTCTCTCTTCCTATAACATGCTTCTTGTCAGCACATGAAATCATTGGTTCCTTGTGCTGCTTCTTCTCACCTTCCAGCCCTGCAAGAGGATGCTATCAGGTTAAATTCAGGTACATACACTGCTTGCATTTAAAAAACGCATTTAGTGATTTATTATCATATACAGAGCTGAATTAAATAGTGTCTTATGTCTGTCCCACGGAGCAACTCTCAGGGTGGAAGCCCCAAGACTTGCACCAAGGGAAGTATGATTTCCATGTCAGATGATAAACCTTACAAAAAGTAGCCTTACGAGCTGCTAGAATTGTAGGAAATCCCTACACAGAGATGCACCTGACTCAAAAAGAAAACAAAGCTTTAGTAGTCACACCGGTAAAGCCAGCGGCCGTGAAGTAGGGTGGCAAAAAAAAGCCCTTGGGACAGAAGATCCTGACAATCTGAGCAAAGTACTATAGAGTGTCTGCCAGGAGTTTTACCAGGATGGCTTACCTAATTCTCCTGGGCCAGTTATGAGCAATGAGGATCACCAAAATGCCCTCTATCTCAATCCTGCAAAGCAGGCAAGGGTCAAATTTCATGCAATGAACACTTTACCTCAGGATTTACATATTCCACAGAGTCAGTGGAACATCTACTGCTTTCATTAGATGATCCCTGTACCTGGAGACAAACCCGTCCATTTTGTTGTTAAACCTGGACAGCAGGACCCATTTAGCATCCCCAACATCTACAACACAGAACCTGGGACACCTCTGGACATAGGGGTCCACTCACCCATGCCCAGAAGCTTGCGGTTTTGGAAGCAGGGGCGGATCCAGAGTCTATTCTCAGCAGGGGCACTGCCAGAAAATAAAGTTTCGCTTACAGAACTTTTAATATTTTATTTAACGTATCATACAGTACTAACCTTGTTTAATCATGACACCTTTATCATTCCAGATTACAGATTTTGACATGACAGAGTGACAGAATATGTTTAACCACAAATAACTTTATTATCACAAAGATCATAAGCAGTTTGTATACTTAGAATATTCCCAGGCAAAATATTCACCAACAATATAAAATGCTATTTAAAAAACATGTAGCAAAACCCAAACATTATCAATCTCTAATCACGCACAATAGTAACAGATTTGTAAATTACATAACATGAAAAATTCACAGAATTAGCTCAAGTCTTCGTTTTCCTTGCTTGGCAAACAGCTTGATGACTTGGTCAGTATTCACATGAATATCTCTGTGAATGTAAAGTAAACACAAGCCATTTAACCGATCCTCCACCATTCGTGACCAAAGCCATGTTTTAACACGACGAAGGGTTGAGAAAGATCTCTCTGCCGAGGCCACACTTACAGGGAGAGTTGCGAAGATCAGAAGTAAACTTTTTATAGTTGGGAAGAGATCCTGGTCACACAAGTCCAACACTTCAAGGACTGTTTGTGGAATTTCCTTATGCTGTGAAGGCTCTCGTTTCCACTTTGTGAGCTAGAGACTTAGTTCTCCCTGCAGTAATGTCTCCATTATCCTCTGGTTACACTTTGACAGTGATTGAACAGCAGCAGGACCCATGGTTTCCATTTTTTTTTCCAAAAGTACTGCTGGCATCAAGATTTTAATCTGGAAACACTGCATCAAATTGTCAGGAAAACGAGCTTTGAAATCAATAATAATGTTGTCCAGCAAGGGAATATACAACGATTTTCTGTAGTATTCTTCAGTTGATCCTACATTGTAAGTTGATCTGTGCACTTGTCTTTGCACAAGACGTGGCAATTTTAGTTCCACTCCAAGCTCTGATGCCAATTCTGTAACCTCCATATGCAAGGTGGAAAAAGTGCCATCAGCGCTACACCGCATATTCTCCAGTGTTGTCATGGTATCAGTCAAGCAGTTAGATGAGCTTGGTAGATCAATTGTTGGTGACTTTAGGAAGTGACTCAGAGGTAGGGTTACTTTCAAAACACTGATTAGTGAAACCAATGAAAAGATGAATTCTGCATTGCACAGAGAATGGATGAGAGTAGATGCTGTTGAGCTGGTGCTTGAGCATTTCCATTGAGATATTGCTGATAATGCACTCACCACTTTTACAAGCCCATCTCGAAATCTTATAAGAGAATCATGGCGCTCTACCCATCCAGTCTCACAAAGACTGATCAGTTGAGAGCCTAGCTCCTGCTTTAAAACCAAATTACGCTTTCCTGATTGATTAAATAATGAAATGGCTGATTTGACCACTGCTACTGAATTACGAACTGCTGTCACTTGTGAGGACTTTGAAATTGAATTGTTCAGCGAATGGTTGTAGCAAAAGACATCTGCAACTGTTGGGTGCTGCATGAAGAGTTTCAGATACAGCACCAGCCACCTCTGAAGACATAACACTGCAACTGTCTGTTCCAATGCCAACACAATGAGTGATGTCCAGGGAGAGGTCTTTAATAAGTTGTATAACCATCTGGCCTAAAACTTGTCCTGTAAGCCTTGGTTCTGAATCTGAATCAGTTCCCGATTTATTCTGGGTTGCAAATTCATAAGCATCTACAAATTTTACAAACTCTTCGCGAATAGATCCATTGTAGACATATCTAAAGTTGAGTGAAAGTTGCTCTGTGTGGGAAATGTCTGTAGTTTCAAAGATTACACTAAAATAGCAAGTCTCTTTAATTCTAGCTACGATGATATTTCTGATTACATCACCACAACACCTGATTAACTCATTTTGTGTGGATTTGGAAATGTAAGTAGCACGGGAAGATGCAGTAAGGAGGTGCTTTTCTAACATTTTGTCTCCAGATGCAATTTGATATCTCAGCAATTCCAGAAAGTTGCCTTCATTCACGTCTGGAGTGGAGTCATCCATTAAAGCGCCATCATCTCGGTGGCCACGCAGAAGTATATTTTGTCTACCCAAAAATACAATAGACTCAATAATAGGACGAATTCGCTCTCGGTTCTCCTTCACCTTCTGAAGACGATGTGCGTTTATTTGATTGACAATTTCGTTGTCTGGTGAATGGTAGGTTTTTAAAAAGGCCTTTCCTTCAATGACACTCTCTTGGTGATAAACAAGTCTTGAATGGACTAACAGATCGCCATCCTTGCCCTTAAGCTTTTTAAAATTAGTGAGGGGCTCCGTTACCAATTTTCCAAGGCTCATGCCTTTGTTATGACCAC